TTTTGAGATCTATTAAAATGAGAGTAACATCTCTCTAATTTTAAAATATTAAATGACTTTTCCTAATATTTACTACAATGACACCGACACATCCTATAATTTTTAATGATGATTGAAATCGGTTGATATAGATGACACTTATCTACTATTTTTCGTTTATCATTAAAAATTTCGGTTGGTATATGTTTGTTTAGGAAAGATTTGTGCATATTTCAAAACTAGAGGACGTGTCAGTGCAATTTAACAAACGACAAGGAAAGCAAGTGTAATTTTTCCATAAATTAATGAATAATGATTTGCAAATAAAAAATAGGTTTTAACACTAGTGGAAAAAAAACTTATTAAGTCAGTTAAAAATGACTTTTTAAGACGATTCTGAGTCTGACCTAAGAAATACCAACATAAGATGTTTTTACTTCTTAAGTCCAATTTAGACTTGACTTAAGAAAATATTATTAGGTCAGTTAAACAAAAATCGACTTAATAAGTCAAAGTTTTCAGAAAGTGATGATGCCATCTGTACCAAATTTAAATTTTTTTTTTCTTAAATCGGATATATTTAATTGACCTAACAAGCTAGATTTTTTAGATAATTGAAATAAAACCTTCGTACAGACTATCAGTTTTAAGATAAAATATTATATTTTATCATCAAACTAAATATTATTTTACATTTATTATAAATTATGTGGAATACTTATTTTTCTAATACTCACTAAACATATAATATTTTCATCTGATTTAGAATAATATAATATGACAAATTAAGTTATATTAGAAGAAAAAATTCACATTCAATGCTAGACAAGAGTTCTTCAACTCCTCATCCACATTTCACTCTTTAATACTTAGAACTTTGTTTAACGCTCCTAGTTCTTCAACTTCGCCTTTCTTCACCTCTAGTTCATTTTGCAAAATATCATTTACTTTGCAAACAAAATTAGAGGTGGAGAAAGGGGCAGCTGAAGAACTGCAATCATTAAATAAAGTTCTAATAGTTAAAGAATAATATGTAGATAACGGGCTGAAGATTTCTTCTCTAGAATTAAAAGTGTACTTGTTTTCTAATATAACTTTATCTATCATATTATAATTTTGTAATGCAATTTGAAAAGTTATCTATTCAATAAGGAATTGGAAAAGCACTCAAACCACATAAGATATAATAAACTCATCTTTTTAACAAATATTAACAATAACATTGATCAACACTAAATCATAAACACATACTAGATACAACAAATATATCAACTCTAAGAATGTTTTAGAAAAGTACTTGTCCCATAATGAAATTCATAATGAAAGAAGGATCAATCTAAAGTGAGACCTGCAAACTTGTGTCTATTTTGAATAGATGTCATTTTGGGTCTTTCACACAAGTTTGTAGCGCTCACTTTATCTTCTTCCTCTTTATTGAAACAAACATCCCTATCTACAAGTTAAAACGAGCAGAAAGTTCAAACATAATGAAACAAGCTATTGAAACATAAACAATAATACATAAACAGATTTTGAAACATAAACTATAGTAAAGACAAACATGTAAGATAGCCATTTGCTAAGACTTGATCCAACAAAGATATTCTTCAAAGAAGACAAGTTGGCTGCATAAGTTTGGGGTTTTCATATGAGAGAGACGAGTGGCAGAGATGTTAGGGTTTTGTTTTGAAAGAGGCAAGTGAAAGAGACATTAGAGTTTTGTTTTGAGAGAGATATTTGTAATTTACTAAAGGAGGAGATAATTTTGCTTATATATAAATAAGTAACACCTTTCACCACAGTTGATAATACGAATTGTGATCAAATGATTGTAACTTACACCAGAGTTGATTATAAGAACCATGGTGGTATACAAGGTCGAACCCATTATGTCATGATAAATGAAAATTTGTTGGTGTTGAGATTTAAACCCTTTCACTACGAATGGTACCTATAACCATTGTAAAATTTCTTTTAGTAAAAACAAAAAAAATATGCTCAAAAAAACGTTATTTCCATGGTTAATAGCAAGGCCGTTGTAAAATAGGTGTTACAAAAGGTCTAATATGCTTTCAAAAGATATTCAAAATGATCAAGTTGTACAAATTATATCTTAAAAACTCAACGAGAATGACATGGTTTAAAGATGAATTAGACAATATTTGAGACAAGGGAGAAAAATGGAAATTTTTATCATATTTTAAATCATCATATATGTTTGGTAGTTTGATCATACCTTGAGTTTCATAACTCTTATTGAGGTGAGACAATCAGTAAATCAAAGCTAACAAAAAGAGTTAGTTAGTTCCAAGGTAAAAAATGAAACAACAAAGCTATGTATTCGATTACTACAGGAAGCACATATACAATATACATACAACATTAGCACACATTTAATTCACACATAGTACATACTACAATGGCTTCTTCCTCCAACTTTCAAAATAAAATAAACTCTCTTTTTTCTCAAAATTTTCAAAACTTCATAACTCTAAAAAGGCTCTCCATTCTACTCACTAAATGACCTCTATTTATAGCGGAATGCTAGGGTTTTGCGTGGGAATGAAGACAAAACTTACTACAGTTTTGAGATAGTAATTGAAAATGAAAAATGTCCGTTTGAAGAAGGTAAAAGTGGTTTCAAAATTGTTCCTTAAATCATCAAACATGCATCATTCAAAGCAACAAATAAAACACTAAAAGGAAAAGGAAAAAGAGGGTAACGGACAAAGTGAAAGAAACTTAGCAACAATGAGGAAGATTGATTGGTTAATGATGAATTTTTTTGATAAATCCTTGATTTGTTATTGATCAATGTAAAAAGAAGTTTTTATTTATTTATTTTGTCTCTACCATTTAAATTTGGATTTTTAATATTGTATTTTTCTAGAAAACTCTAAAACTTTAAATGCATGATTTTTTTTATAGATTTTATAATAAGATTAAAAAATAATGAGAAATATGGTGATAAATGAATAATAATAGACAAAATTAAAAAAATTGTGTTCTTTAAAATTAATCAAATGACTTTTACAAAGGATAAAAAAGTTGAATTAAATTGTTGGGACAAAATTTGATATATATATATATATATATATATATATATATATATATATATATATATATATATATATATATATATATATATATATATATATATATATATATATATATATATATATATATATATATATATATATATATATATATATATATATATATATATATATATATATATATATATATATATATATATATATATATATATATATATATATATATATATATATATATATATATATATATATATATATATATATATATATATATATATATATATATATATATATATATATATATATATATATATATATATATATATATATATATATATATATCTGTGTGCGCGCGCGCGCGCACACACACACGTGTGTGTGTGTGTGTATATATATATATATATATATATATATATATATATATATATATATATATATATATATATATATATATATATATATATATATATATATATATATATATATATATATATTCCTTCATATTTTTAATTTATTTTGTTCTAATTAAATTAATTTATGAATGTAGTTACTCTTTTTTTTTATAAGCATAATCTATTAATAAGAGATTAAGAAAATCTCAAACCAAAAGATAAATTACAAAAAGTCAAAGGGGAATTTGAACCAATCATATAAACTACACTGCTTGCTCCCCTTCCTACCTAGGATCAACCAATTCCAAGAAAATAGTTTAATGTCGGAAACAATACTGTTGACCTCAGTAACTACACTATTGAATATAAATTCATTTCTAGACCTCCAAATACTCCAGCAGGTAATAAACCAAATCAAATTTACTCTATTCGCTTGACACCGGCCACTAATGCTTGAGTTCCACACCTTCGCGTGAGAGTAGCAACAATTTTCAGAGATTATCTCTATATCCGCCCATTTGCAAATATTGTTCCAAGCCTGTGTAGATTTAATGCACGAGAAGAAGAGATGGGATACGTCCTCGAAGCTACTAGAACAAAACACGCAATCCAAGTCTTGCTCAGAATCAAACACCTTTCTTTTCAATAAATTAGTTCTAGTTCGCAATCTATCAAGCGCCAATCTCCAGCTGAGAGTTTGAAATTTCGCCGGAATAACCGTCTTCCAGAGACACTCAAGATGGGAGGCACATTCAGAACCAATATCTTGATCAGAGAAGGAGGAAGATGGAACTGAATGTAAAGAACTAACCTTGAAAGACAAAGATTCATGAAGCAGCCACCGTCATTTGTCGGACTCGCCGGGGATAACTAAGACGTTTTCCAGCAATTTACAACAATCAGACCAGTCTGGTTCATGAGGGAAATCTAAATCGATCAAAGAATCTCTAATTTTCTAAGTCCACTGCCCTTCCTCTCAGAATCCCATGTCACGGACAGTCATTGTCTTCATAGAGCAACACTGAAACAGGCCGTTAAATCTGACTTTAAACGGCAGGTCACCATTCCAAATTGACTTCCAAAACGCCACATCATTACCTTCACCAACGGAGAAGGCCGTGAATTTGCAGAAGTTGGCATGAGAATTTAGGGACGTGTTGTTCATAATATCCTTCATCCACAGTGAATCAGATTTCGAATTATCAACGTCGAGGCAAGTTTGCGTCTTGATACTGAGGTTGTCGTATCTGTTAGTGATGGTCTTCCTCCATATTTCATTGTCGTCAGTTTGAAATCTCCAAAGCCATTTTGCCAACAAAGCACTGTTGAACCGACCCACATGCTTAATACCAAGACCGCCATGTTCCTTAGAATTACTGATAGAATTCCAAGAAACCCAAGGAATAAAAGTTTTGCTCAAGTTTCCAGCCCATAAGAACCAATGTTGGATCACAATAATATCCTTCACGAATTTATGGGGAGCCTTGAAGAAAGCCATATAATGGATAGGGAGATTAGCCAAAACTGAATCTATGAGGGTTACTCTGCCCCCCATAGACAGATTTCTTCCATTCTAGTTGGATAATTTATTCCTCAAACAATTCAGAACCGGATTCCTAAAAGAGTAGCGACGATGGTTGCCGCCAACAGTGATACCAAAGAATCTAAACGACAACTTTCCGAATTTGCAGTGAAGAAAATCTTCAGCAGCCACAAGAAAATCAGGATCTAATCGAATCCCGTACAAGCAGCTTTTAGAGTAATTAGTTTTGAAACCTAAATTTAATTCGAAAGCACGAAGAATAGCCTTGAAAGCCCAAATATTAGACACCGAGCCGTCTCCAATAAGCAGAGTATCATCAGCGAATTAAAGAATACTCACGGTGGGTTGACCATCAATTTTGAATTGAGATAACATATTACTGGCAACCGCTGATTTCACCAAGCTCGACAACCCCTCTGCAGCGACATCGAACAAGAACGGGGCAAAGGGGTCGCCCTGCTTCATCCCCCTACCAGCCCTAAAGTCCTTCGAGGGACTACCATTGATGAGAATAGAAACGTAACTATTGAAAACGGAACCACGGATCCATTTCATCCACTTAGTTTCGAAACCCATCTTTAAAAGTAGAGCATCTAGATAGATCTAATCCACACAATCATAGGCTTTAGCAAAATCTACTTTGAAGAACAAGCAATCCTTTTTGAATCTCTTAGTGAAGTCATCTAGCTCGTCAGCCAACAAAACGCCATCGTAAATCTGCCACTCCGGAATGAAAGCAGTTTGAGAGGGAGAAATAATTTTATGAATAACCTTCCTGAGTCTGCAAGCGAGCATCTTTGATATTACCTTAAGAACAAAACTGACAAGGCTAATAGGCCTGTAATCTTCGAATTGTTGGGGATTTTTAGACTTCGGAACAAGCGAGGTGAAGGAAGATGGGAAGGTCTTCAGAAGGTAACCAGTATTGAAAAATTCCAGAATGCAGTTCGAGAAATCCTTGCCCACTATCTTCCAGCAGGACTTAATGAATTTAAAATTGAAACCGTCGGCACTGGGGCACGTATTTCCATCGCAACTGAAAACAGCATCTTTAACTTCTGCAGGGCAGAAAACAGTTTCCAGTCGTAACCTGTCTTCCTCTTCGAAGCAAGCTATATTATTGAAGTAAATAAATAACTTGGGCGATGATTGGCTCTGGTATCTCTCCTTAAAGTACTTCACAGCTTCGCATTTAATGGCCTCAGGGTCTTCCTCCATCCCATCTCCCACTCCGATAGCAGATAAACAGTTCGAACGATATCTAGATTTTAAGGAATCATGGAAAAACTTTGAATTCTGATCCCCATCTTGAAGCCAATTTAAACGGGATTTTTAAGCCAACATGCTTTCTTTTATCCTGAGATTCTTCCACATCTCCTTCTAATTTCTCAACCTTTCCTTGTTCAAATCTTCATTGTGAGAGGCAAAAACCAAGTCACTGTCCATCTCTAACGTATTGAGGTTAGATACAAACTCCTTTAAATCTAGCCAGTCGAAAACGTTGCGGTTCCAGCTCCAGAGGTCACTTTTCAAAGCAGTAAACTTTTTAATCAGAATGTTGCAAAAAGACCCTGAAGCATGGTAAGAATTCCACGACTGCTTAACAAACGGAATGAAGTCCTTATGAGAAAACCAATAGTTGAAGGACCTAAACGGTTTTGGCCCCCAATTCACAAAGTTAGACTTCAACCACACAGGCCGATGGTCTGAAACGTCTCTATCGCCCACCACTTGATTGATCAGAGAGAGCATGGAAATTGCAAGATCATCCGCCAAAAATCTGTCCAATCTACTTCTACTCTTGCCATTGGAATTGAACCACGTAAACTTGTTACCAAACACCGGAAGATCCGTCAACTTCAGCTCATCAATAAACTCACTGAAAACCTTCATATTCCTGAGACTATTAGCACTTAAGCCTTTTCTTTCCTCCCCGATCTTAACCTCGTTAAAATCTCCCCCCACGATCCAGCCAACACCTGTTAGCTTACTTTTAATTTTAGTGAGATCCCTCCACAAATTCCTTCTGTCAGCAGAACTGTAAGGTGCATAAACGTTAACCCCAATTAGGCTTTGATTGTTCCACAGAAAGTGAATGCCCAAGAATCCAGTACCACAAAAACTGGATATAGCTAAAACTTTCGACCTATTCCACAAGGTAAGAATACCTCCAGACCTTCTAGAAGAATTAAGGGCTGAAAAATCCAAATCAGTATTTCTCCAAATGCTATGAGCGATACCGTCCTCCATATGTGTAATTTTTGATTCCTAAATAACGCAAATGGCAGCGTTGCCTCTCTGCAGAGTTTGAGAGATTCTCCTTCTCTTCAACGAATTGCAGCAGCCTCGAACGTTATAGGAAAATATATTCATAAACTACTGGTAGCTACAACCTTCTTGCCTAATCTAACAGCCTTGTCCTCCCTTTCCAGTTTCCTCATGGTGTTTCCAAGCCCATTGTCATCGTCTCCCTGAATCCCTAAATCCATCAGGTAATTTCTCAATTTGAATGGTACTTCATCAATGGCCCTTTTACATCGCAGATTTCCTCTTTCCACATCTGTATCAGTTATAGACTCACCACACAGGAGTTCAGAACAAGACTCAAGGGGTTTACTAATCAGCTGGTTCTTATTCCCTCCCTCACTAGCAGAACCCCCCAGCGAAGTACCTGCGTACCCTTTTGAAGCTGTGAGCAGGAGAGTTGAGAAATAAGATGAGGTGTATGAAATCTTAATGCAGTTGTAAATCTCATGGATCATCTTTTTCTTTTTGGCTTTTTCTACAAACGCAGGCCCAAGAGTACCATCTGGAGGCCCAAGAAGAGGAAGAGGCAGCCCCAGGTCCACAACTAGATCCCCTTTTAGGTTTAGGTTATCGTTTGCCACGTGGATCTGGTTCTGTTTAAGGTTAACCGAAACATTAGCAGGATTGTGTCCATCTGAACCGAAAAGGGCAGCAGAGTTCCCAATGAGACTCCCTATAATACCACCACCTGTATCACTCAAACCAAGGTTGTTACCAACTACAAACATGATATTAGAGGAAGTATGGATGTAGTCTAATCCTAGGAATTCAGCAGCTGGAACTTTCTCATCAGGTTCATTGATCGATGCACTGGACCCCCCACTCTCAACCTCATCAGACTCCTCCCACGCGCCATCAAATTCTGAGGGACCTGAGGATTCAAAGTCAACTGAGTCTATCAACTCGTCTACTTCACCATCCATCGAAAAATGATGGGCACGTGAAACTTCTTCAGTGACAGAAATATGATAAGCAACATCGAACACTTTAACAACAATATTCTTATTTTGAATAACCCCTAAGGTCGTCTTAATAAGAAATCTCGCAGCATCCAAGCACTCTCTATTACTAGTCTTCTCATCATATCTGATAAAGGTACCCAGGCTAGCTGAAATCAAGCAAAATTTGCTATCACTCCAAGCGACACTGGGAATACCACTGCACACAACCCAGACAAACCTATCTCTGTCAATCACCTCCTGATCCCATGACCAAATCTCGCTGAACCATACATCCAACCAATCGCTAGATTCTTTGATGAATACCTCAATGTCATCACCTGAACTGTCTTCCAACAGGCACATAGAAGCTCCTAGAGGTATTGCCTTAATGTTGAAGAAACCTTCTTCATTAATAATCTTTTGGATATTGAAAGCATTTCCATCCTCCATGATAACTACCACTCTCATACGTTTTAACCTTTGTAACCAATCATCATCCACCTCAAGACAAGTGCAAGGGCCTCCTCCTCATTCCTTGCCGTCGGACTTAGGCTCACTCCCACTTACCACTTTGGCAAAGGATCTAGCAGCTGTGACAAACTTCTCAGAGCTTCTTGGCCGCCCAGGTTTGCTTTGCTTCCTCACATTCTCACCATCTGAGTTCATCAACTTTTGATCCAAGCTAAACCTGGGTATGTTAGCGTGCATCTTCTTGCCTTCCAAAACAACACTATCAAGATTACACGCTAGTACTCTAGGGTCATGAACCTTCTTGAACTTAGCGAAACTGAATCTTCTACCTCTCTTGTCACGCCTCCCAGAAATAAAAACTTCTGAAATGACTCCATTCACCTTAAACACCTCAAATAAATCTTTAGCATTCATCTTGTCTAGGAATTCGGTAACAAAGAAAGACGTCGTTGGTTCCCCATCCAAAGCACCTTTCCCATTGTTCTCCTTCCAGGCTGAAATGCCACCATTTCTTCTGTTTCTAGCGTTCCTACCAATCTTTTCCCAGGCCATCAGGAACTGCACTCTCAATCCGATAGAAAACCAGACGGTTACCAAGGCCCCTAAACTCGAAAGCTAGGAATTTAAGCCGAAGATAACCACCTAATCTTCTGAGGATCGAACCATGCAGCTAAAAATCAAAAGCATCAAACGAAAAAATTAAGGAGAATGGAAGAAATTAGAAGAAATTAGGGATTAGGGTTAAGAATTGGGATTAGGGTTATGAATTTGAGAATTTCACTGTTCATTAAAGAAGGCATATTGTTGGTGTAGTTGCTCTTAATGAGGTATTAGATATTGTTAAGGTGTCTAAGAGAGAGAGAGAGAGAGTGAGTGTTTTGTGTTTAAATTGAATTTTGAGAAGGTGTAAGATTAGTCCAATAAAAAAACACTCATTAGTCACATGATTTTCGCGCCACAAAAAAAAATATCACGTCGTAAAAGATAAATTATCGACGTGAGGAAACACTCTAATCGCAAATTTGTCAAGTAATATTTACATCAAAGATGTTTACCTAAACTACAAAGTCCAGATATAGGTGCAGAAGTTGGATAAGTGTTGACTTATTAATTATAAACAATAAAAATATATATTTTTGAATTATAATATTTTTGGATTTAGTAATATACTATAAAAACTAAAAACATATTATAAACTCTAATAAAAAAATTTAAAAATTTTCGAATTTAATAGTTATGATTTTTAAAATAAAAATATTATTAAATCTATTTATATGTTTTATTTTTCTAAAACATGAAGATATCAAATAACCCACAACTCAATATGTATTTATGGATGAAAATAAAAAATAATACAAACCTTTGAGTGAAGAAACTAAATAAAACTGAAAAACTTTAATCAATCAGAACCTTGTTGAGTCTTGATTAACTTTTCGGAATTTCTTTATTCAAATAACTCAATTTTTAGAAAAATTCTCAAAATATCCCATATTTTAAAAATATTCTCAAAGTACCCAGTTAGAGTTTGGATTTACACAAGGACGCTAATTCAATTGGCGACCCTTTGTTAATGTCATAAGGGTGACGTCAATTGATCTGGAGACACCTCATACAATCTTCAATCCAATTGGCGACTTGATTATGTACATTAAAGGGTATCGTCAATTCATCTGGAGACCCTTTATATTTAGAAATTTTTTTACTAAAAAATAAATAATTATAAAAACGAATAATAAAATAATTGATATTATGAATATTATCAAAAATAATCATTTACTTTTTAAAATTTTTTATATAAACTAAGTCAGAGAAATTTTTAAAATAGTCTCTATTTATAGAAAAAAAATTTAAAATATAAAGGGTCTGTAGATGAATTAGCGACACTCTTTAATGTACATAACCAAGTCACCAATTGGATTGGAGATTGTATGAGGTGTCTCGAGACCAATTGGCACCAATCTTATGGCCTTAACAAAGAGTCGCCAATTAAATTGGCGTCCTTGTGTAAACCTAAACCCTAACTAAGGTACTTTAGAAATATTTTTGAAATGTGAGGTATTTTTTTTTTCAAAAATTGGATTATTTGAGTAAAAAATTCAACTTCTCGAGTCTTGATCAACAAAAATAAAAAAATTAAATAAGAGTGTTAAATTTGCTACAAATTTCTAGAGAGTTCTTAAATATAATATGTAAGAAGATATAGAACATCCTAGAAACTATAAGGTGTATGAATATGGTAGAATAATCTAGATATATAAGTATATGGCAAAGATAGAAAAATCTAGATTTATCATGATAATAACCTATCATGAGAACTCTAGAATATTCACCACCATTGAAAGGTTGGTGACTTGAGCCTATAAATAGGCATTTGCTACATTGTAAACCATCAATCCAAGAAATTAATCATAAAACCTTCTTTCTAAACTACTCTCTAAAACTATCTTCTACCAACTATCATCTAAACAATTCCAAACAGTGACATCAGAGCTACGTTCGGTCATACATTAGGCGTAGTTATACTAATACCTACCATTTCAAAATCCTCCAAACTATTTCAAAATATTTCCCTTATACTATTAACCCACTACAATATTTTTTCTAAGCCATGGATAACACTACTCAATCATCAACTATTTGTGTCCCTATTTTCAATGATGAAAATTATGATTTCTGGCGTGTTAAAATGGAGACATATTTTTCATCTCAAGATTTATGGGACATAGTAGAAGAAGGCTTCATCGCTCCCATAGATATTTCAGCTCTAAATGCAGCTCAAGAAAAAGAGTTAAAGAAAAATAAACAGAAAAATTCAAAGGCATTGTTCACCTTGCAACAAGCGGTGAATGATGCAATTTTTCCAAGAATTATGGGAGCTAAGACTGCAAAAGAAGCGTGGAAGACGTTGCAGGAGGAGTTTCAAGGAAATGACAAGGTACATGCTGTCAAACTTCAATCTCTAAGAAGAGATTTTGAACTATTGAAGATGAAGGAGTCTGAGACAGTTAAAGATTACTATTCTAAAGTTAAAGAAATAGTTAATCAAATGAGAGCTTTTAGGGAGGATATTCTTGACAAGAAAATTGTTGAGAAAATTCTAATTACTATGCCCCCAAAATTTGACCCAATCGTGACAACAATAGAGGAAACCAAAGATCTGTCTACTCTATCAGTGACAGAACTAGTGGGCTCTCTTGAAGCATATGAGCAAAGACTACATAAGCATAAATAAGATACACTTGAAAATGTCTTTCAGTCAAAGCTCAAATTTAAGTCCCAAAATAAAGAAAATGGAGGAAAGAAAAATTATGGTGAAACTTCCAAAAGAAGAGAAGTTCCTAGAAATTTCCAAAAGAACAATCCAGATAAAAATATTCCATGCAATATATGCAAACGACTAGGCCACGCGGAGAAAAGTTGTTGGTACCGTAATATGCCACAATGCAATCATTGCAAGAAATTCGAGCACATAGAGAAACACTGTCGCAACAAAAATAGGCATCAAGCTAATATCGCAGAGGAGCATGATCA